CCCGCCCCGCCCCTACTGGTGCGGCCGTCGCTATGCCCCTCTCTGGCCTTTGCTTGGTTTCTGTTTTCCGATTCCCATGATGTAGCGAACCACACTGTGAGGCCGCCTGGCCGGGGGACTGGGCGCCGAGGAGCCGTGTCTTCAACCCATGCTACGCTACCACTCCCCTGGGCTCAGAGCGTGCTGGTCTTCCTGTCTTCCTGCCAGCCACCGTGGCTCTTCCCAGGCTCAGTCCCCCACAACCTGCCTCTTCTCCTCCTTCTCTTTCCACTTTTTCCCTATCCCCCTTCTCCTCTTATTCCCTCCCTCTCTCCAGGCCGAGCCAGTGGTCCTGGGGTCCTGTCTCATCTGTATCCCAGGGGTTTGTGCACACACATCTGGCCTGGACCCAACGTCTTCAGAACCAAAGCTCCAGGCGTACCTGGACTTACCTCTGCAGACCATAGAGTGGCAGCTTTCATCGGCCGCTCAGCAAACACTCATTAGAGACCTGCTGTGTGCTCAGCCTGGGGTAGGCTGTGTGGGTCCTGGGGGCATAAGGTAGGCGTGGCCCTCCTCTCATGGAGGTCAGCGAGGAGGGAAAGAAGGACCCCACAAGATGATGAGGTGATAGGCACCACGAGGAAGGACTAGCGGGCCGGGTGGGAGAAAGGGGCTGGGTTGTCAGGGCAGGCCTCACCGCGGGGACGCTCGAGGTGACACTAGACGTCCAGATGGCTGGCAGGGCTGTCACACATCACGGCATGCCCCTCTGTTCAGGGTAAGAAGAAAAGGAATGCCCTGGCAGGTCCCGGGTAGTTCAGAGAATGTGCTGGAGGCCTGGAAGGTCATGCCCCCCCACAGGCGGTGGCTGAGAGAGGCTGGCATACCCTACAGAGCATGGGGAGGACCCGGCTGCCCCTGCTCTGGATGCTGGACAGTGTTTGGGTCTTGAACTCTGACCTCTCTGGCACATTCCAACAGAGGGAGGCTAGAACTGGGCCTGCTCACCTGCCTCTGATACATGGTTGTTCTCCACTGCGCACCCCCACACACATGGGGGCACAGTCTGTAAATCCCGCGTGACCTGTCCCTTGGTACCCTCTGCCCTCACCCCACACTGCCCTTCCTTGGTCTTGCCAGGGCTGCTCCTGCCTGTCCAGCACTGGCTGTTGCTCTTGCCCAAGGTAGCTCTGTAGCTTCTTCCCTCCCTCCTCTGAGTCAGATTTTTTTTTCTTTTTTAATAATATTTTGGTTAGTTTTAGGGCTCCAGGAAATGTTTTATTTTTTATTTTCCTAGAGCATGTGCTCTCCAGAGACAGGGGTTGAGGGGTGAGAAAGCATCTCCCATGGGAAATGGTCACAACAAAGTCCCATCTCCATTTCTCCCCCCTTTCGGGATGTGGGCCACGCATGCACATGTACTCATGTTTTTTCTTTTTTAAGATGCAGGGTCTAGGACTTGAACCATGTTGTCAGCCATGTGGAATCCAGCTGCTTTAAACATCATGCCATGGACTGGCTCGTCAGCTCCTCTGACTACGTGGGAGTCCAGTGACATAACCATTACGCCATCTGCTGGTCCCCCAGTGTGATTTTCAAGCTGCCAGGTCTGGGATTCAAACCACAATTGGCCCTATGGGAGGCCAGCACCAGAGCCACCACGCCACTGCTGGCGCCTCTTGTCACCTTCTAACATATGATTTACATTTTTTTTTAGAGGTTTTTTGCTATAGGGCACATGCACTCGCCAGACAGACAGAGACAGAGAGACAGAAAGCGAGAAATCACTCCCCAGGGGGGATGGTCACGCTGCAATCCCTTCTTCTCCATTCTCCTCTCGGGATCTTGGGCACGCACGCACACATGCCCGGTGTGAGTTTAAGCCACCAGGTCCGGGATGCGAACCGCAGTCGACTACGTGGGAGTCCAGCAACATAGCCATTACGCTAACTGTTGGTCCCCCCAATTTACACTTGATCTCACTGATGACTACCTCGTGCCTGCACCTGCGCCTGGTGCTCACGCTAACACTCCATGGCTGTTTGTTGAATGAGGGGACATTAGTATGGCCTACTGGTCTTGGGAAACCCTCACTTTGAACCCTATGTGATTTTCCGTATTTTAACCTCTATGAGCTTCAATTTCTCCATCTACCACTTGGGAGCCTACTCAAGGCTTGGGTTCTTTTCTTCAGAGAGGTTTTTGCTGTAGGCCGTGTGTACTTGTTGGAGAGACAGACAGAAAGCGAGAAATCACCTCCTAGGGACGATGGCCACGCTGCAATCCCGTCTCCATTCTCCTCTTGGTATCTTGGGCACGCACACGCATGTGACCGTGTGAGTTTTAAGCGGCTGCATCTGGGACTCGAATGGCAGTCGACTAGGTGACAGTCCAGCAGCATAGCCACGATGCCATCTGCTGGTCCTAACTAAGGCTTGGGTTCTTAGTGAAGAGAACATGATTCAAGTGTGGACCGTCACTCCTTCCCACCTTCTTCCCCGAAATCCATTAAAATGAGCGTCTCCCAAGCCAATAGGATCTCAATATGATGCTTCCATTTACTTTGGATTATATGTCATTATAAATGTTAACAAATAAGACATAAAAAGGACACCTTTGGGTATGTCAGACGAAAGTACAAAAATTGTGTTGTGGGGCTGCAGTGTGAGGACGGTTTCTGCAGCCGTCACCTGGCAGCAAAAACGGTGTTAAGCAGTGCACAAAGGTCTGCGTCGCCGACAGCCAGAGACCATGCATCGGGAGCTTCGCTCGGTTCGGAAACAAAGGGCAGCACATGCACGGCCCGGGGTGCAGTTCCTCGCTCTCGCCACTAGAGGTCAGGAAGTTACCGCTCCAGGTTTGGAAGACGGGCCCGTCGGGGACTGGCTAGTGGTGGCGGCGGGCGGGGCGGAGACCAGGGCTGGAGGAGGATGCAGTGCATCCGGCGTCCCCCTGGCTCCTGACGCCTGACTTTGGAATCACATTGTTTTTGGCATCAGATTTCCCCTTTGAGGAGCTGATAGACCAGAAGAAAGGTGCCCGTTAGAGGTCACAGGCAGAGTGGATTCTGCAACTTTTCAAAGCGCCTTTATGAGTGAATCAATCTGCGCGAGGTCCTAAAAGTGCCAGGCTCCTGGTGCAGGCCTGTCACTCCCTGGACCCGCCCCCGCACCCCACCCTGCTTCTGGGCCGGCTGGCCAGAAGCGCGGCCCCCAGGCTGTCCTGTCCCTGGGTCAGGCGGGACCATCTTTCAGGACCCCGCTCAACCTGACACAGCCTGAGCCTGGGGCACAGAGGGCCCTTGACGCGGTGCCAGCAGTGCTGTGTGTCCCAGTGGGCTCCTTCCACTCACTGGACCTGTTTCCCCACGTGTCTAATGAGGAAGTCGTACTAGGTGGGCTCAGGCCTCTGCTGGCTCTGCCATTCAGCACTTGTCTTCACAGAGAGGCTGTCAAGGCTCTTCTCTGAATGAGGCCCAGGGAAAGCAAGCTAAGACACCCAGAACTTCCCGAGACCCTGGGTCTTAATGGCCACTCCTACTTCAGCCCCCAGGGCTTCCCGTACTAGCTGTGGAGAAAAACAGTGCCTTTACTCTGCCCCGACCCCCGGCTCACAGGCCCAGAGGGTGGCTGAGAGCCAGGGCCAGGGTGTGGGCACCTCTGGGAAAGCCGTAAGTGGGACACATGGTTCCAGAGCCAGCTAAAGGACAAGGTGGCAGGACGGTGACAAGACACGTCCCCATCACGCAGGGCCTCTCTCCCCATGTTCTCTGAGTCCCCAGCAGCCTGGAGGGAAGGGACGGCGCGTACTGACCCCAGCCACGCGGTATGCACTAACCCTCGGCATGACACAGAGCGCTCCTAAGATGGGGACTGAGGCTGCACGAGCAACAGAGGTGGCCAGGTACTTCAGGGGCGCTGAGTCCTGCTCCCCTGCACACTGGGTCATGGCCGCCGGCACTTGGTGGGATTTGAACTGTCACCCTGGCCTCAGACGGTGATGTGCTTGGCCCCTGCAAACCTTGCTGCTGGTGTTGGCATGGGTGGGCAGCAGGCAGGGTGAGCCCTCTCACGTGGGAGCCCAGCACCCGCTTCCTCTGCAGAGTCCAGAGCTCTGGGCTGGGGGGCTGGGAGGAGCCATGGGGTCCTGGTTCTGGCTGAACAGAGGAAGGCTGAACAGAGTGAGGCTTGCTGCCTTTGAAACCCCTTGGGTCTGCATTTGTCCATCCAGGGTCCCAAAGGCCCCCTGGAGGCCGGGAAGCCAGGCTTCACTTCCTGTGAAGATTCGGTGCTTGCAACCTTTTCCCGGAGAGCTGGACCCCCGCAGAGCACGGATAGGCTCCCCCAGAAACCAAGCCCTGGGCTGCCACGTACTCCCGAAAGGGACATCCATGGCCATGCTGAGGCCAAGATGCTATGGGTAGCGACTCAGAGACCCTCAGTACGCCCCCCAAGCCCACGGGGAGGGGACTAAGGAGAGGGGGACAGGAGGAACGTTTGCTTTCTTTCATGTTAAGGGACCTCTCCTCCACTGCAGGTGACCCGACGCAGAACAAGGGGGCAGGGCCCAGCTTCGAGGTCCCTCGGAAGAGGAAGATCTAGGCAGAAGATCTGGGTCCAGGGGGACCTTGACTCCTCACCATCATCAGTTCCTTGTGGTGCTTCTACTCCCGCCCCCCACCAGAGCCCCACTCCTGTCTGAATGACCTTGCACTTTGCATGGGGCAGTGGGGGTCCCTCACAGTTCCTTGGTCCAGCCTCTTTCTGTCCCCTCCAAGCCTTAGCAGAGCACTCCCACTGCCCGGGCTCCTTCCCCCTCCGCCTGTCTAGAAACCTCCACTCACCCCTCTTCAAGGCCACATTGGAGCACCACCTCCAGGAAGCCTTCCTGACCTCCCCACTGGCAGAGCCAGCACACCCACTGCACCTGCAGGCCGGCCGGGTTGATCTGGGTGCTTTGCACCTGCAGTTGTGAGTTTCCAGCTCCCTGAGGGCAGGCCTGGGTTTCGTGCACCCCCAGGGTTTGTGGAATCATTGAGGGAAGCACTGGCCGACTCGCCTGTGTTCACTGGCACCTCCAGGAACTTCAGCCTCAGCTGCTAAGCCCACCTCTTCCCACCTGCCCAGTGACGCCAGAGATGGCGGGTGTGTCCAGAACCGCCCGTGGGCTTCACCTGGGAGTAAAGGTTCTCTGGAGTCCTGTCCTCGCCTGGTCACGATTCCACTGCCAGGGCCCTGCCAGGGCACTCCTATTCTCTCAGCCTGTGCCTTGCCGCTGACCTCAGGGTGGGTCCTTGCCCCAGGTAGCCCCAAGCTCTTCCCCCAGGAGGGAGCTGAGGCCGAGGTCTTCTCCTTCCCCTTGGGGGCCCAGTTCTCTGCCCTCCCTGTCCCAAGTGCTGGGCTCCCGTGTCCTCCAAGCAGGGGCTGCAGCGGCTGTGTCCCAGGAGGTGTCGTGATCTCCCCAACATGGGGGCTGTGGCCCTTGGTGGCAGCTGAGGAAGCCCAGGGGAGGGCAGGGTGGGCGTTGGCGGTGGGCGTCAGTCGCTGAGCACGGCCCCCGGGAGCTCGTTGGTGAGCGTGTGCCAGCGCTCGATGCGCCTGTCCTTGTTCTTCAGGCAGTCGAACCAGTGCTTCAGGCGCTCGCCCTTGGCGTTGATGCCCAGAACCACGCCGCCTGCGGAGACCAGGAGGGACAGCCAGGGACGGTGACCTCCTGCTCCCAGGGACCTGGATCCCCCCAGGGTGGGACTCTGCCCTGCCCACCGCCATGCCACACTCTGGCCTTTCCTCATGCAAGGCCCATGTTAGGGGCCAAGGAATGGGGGCCAGGTGGGAAGAAGGGCCGGGGCAGCTCCACGGTGTCACGCCCCCCAGCAGCTTGGGCCACAAGGCTGAGTCCTGCCCAAGGCGCTGACCATCATCTTCGGTGTGGCCCTCCCAGGTCCCCCTCTCTCTCTGGGCCTGCCCCTTCCTGTCACTTGGGGTGAGGCTGGATCGTGTCCAAGGCCCTTCACATCTGTGGGGGCAGGTAGTCCACAACCCCAGCTTTCTCCAGAGGCTCCATGGCCTGATCCGGGGCTTCTGCCCTTGGCCAAACCCGGGATGGGCCCACGGCGCTCCCTCCCGTCGTGCTCTTACCGATGAAGTCGTTGGATTTCCCGATGTCGTAATCCCACACGGTGATCTCCAGGGTCTTCTTGGCCAGGTCGCCGTGCTTAATCTCGTAACAGAACTCCTGCCGGCCAGAAGGGAGAGGTGAGACAGAGGCCCGTTGGCCTGGAACTGTGCTGGTGGCTGGGAGGGGCCGTGCAATGAGGGCAGGGGTGAGGGAGGGAGGGAGGTAGTCGTGCTCACCCGCCCTGCCCCTGCCTACGTCTGCCTGACAGCCCCCCTGCCTCTTCCGGGAGCTGCTGTCTCCAGACCCCCAGGGCCTCCCTGCTGCCAGGCGTGTCACCTGCCCCCGCTCCCCCCAGTCTTGCTGCCCCGACAGCTCTTGGCTCTGCTTTTGCCGACACTCCCTTCCTCGTGGCACTCCCCTCCGGGACCCCTCTCTGCAGAGGTGTCTCCTTGGATGGCTGGCGTGCTTCGGCTCTGCCGAGGGCCCTCTGCCCCCTCCTCTGCCATGGGGATTCCCCCGCTGGCATCTCTTGCAGCACCCACTCCTGGGCTGGAGACCTGCGTAGCCACCTGCCTGAGGCCCTGGAGTCCCGAGAATCCTCACACCCCCACACAGCTTCCCCATCTCCCTCACACCCTCCCAGCTGTTACCTCCGTGAGGAAAACCCGAGATTCCCCTCAACACCTCCTCCGTGCAACTCCCACATCCAGTGTGGCCACGCGCCTGTCAATCTGTCCTCAGAAGAGCTTTCCAGGCCACCCGCCCTGCCCGCCCCCTCGCACCCTGGGTCCCCTCTGTCTGCACCACTGAGCCACAGCTGGGGCCTTCTCCCCACCCTGCGGCTCCTGCAGTGACCGCCCAGGGGACAGGCGTGGCCTGAAGCTGCCAGCCTCATACCTCATTGAACTCTGGGTTCAGGGTTTTCTTCTTCACTGCCGTCTTGTGTTTGGATTTCTTGTCCACATCTGGCTTCAGGTATCTGGAATCATAACCAAGGACAGGCGGAGGGTGGAGCCGCTATGGGTGTAGACGGGGCCAGCAGGGCTTTGAAAAGACCCTTCTCTCTGGAGAGAGATGCCCGGCTCTCCGCTCGCCCCAACCACTGGGTTTGCCCAGCACTACTGGATGGTAAAGGTGAGCGGTCATGGCAGCGGGAGAGCCGAGAGCTCCCCAGGTCGGCTCCGCCTCTGTCCTCACCCGCCTCCTGCAGGGGACCACCAGCCCTCCACCCGCAGGTCAGAGTTTCCTGTTTCTGGAAGTCTAATTTTCACAGAGCTTTCATTTCCCACTAGACAAACATTTCTAGCAGAACTGGCCCCTTGTGTGAGCCTTTAAAAAATGGCAGAGTAAGATACAAGTCATGGGCTAGAATATCCACCCTCCTAGAGTGTAAAATCCAGTGGTACATTGCCTGAATCGTGTAACCTTCACTACCACGGTGTGGGAGCCTCGAAGAAGGGAAAGGCCTCTGCGCAGTAACAGGAAACGGCCTGCAGACTGAGGGGAGCCCCTGCTGGCTCTAGTGGCTTCCACCAATGCAGACAGTTGCCTTCATCTGAGGCTCAGAGAGGTGCGGTGACTTGCCCAAGGTCACATAGCTGGCAGGCACAGAGTTGTTCGGAAGCCAGGCCTCGGCTCCTGTAAAGCAGGGAGTTCCTATGTGGGCTGCAGAGGGGCAGGAGGCCCTGAGTGTCCTTTGTAGAAGTTCTCGGCCTGTCCCTGCACAGATGACTGTGTGACAGTCGCCTCCGTGTGGCTGAGTGTGCTCTGGGCACACTGGTCCTCTCCCTGCCAGCTTCCTGGCACCCAGCTCAGGGCCAGGCACTGGGCAGATCAATGTACTTTTGCTGAATAAATGCCTGAATTCCTAGAAGTCAAATTACCTGCTTCAAGGCATGCCCAAGCTTCTTGTTCTGTTTTGCCGAACTGCCCCCCAGAAAGGCTCCGTGGGTGACACACGATGCCCTGACAGAGCTGGAAACGATCGCTTTCGGAATCCTTGCCGGTTTGAGAGGTGAGGCAATGGGATCTCTTTGGCGCTTTATTTTGCAATTTTTAAAATTGCAACTTCCATTAAATAAACTACACTGGTATACCACAGAAACACTAGAGAATACGAGCACAGCTGGGGGTGAGGGAGACAAATGAAGCCAAGCGTGTGCACAGAAACCAGCCGGGAGCAGCTTCATACAGTCACCCACACTGGAAACGGGCCAGGCGTGGCTCCAGGGTAAGACGCAGTGCTCTGCATGGCTGCCCCCAAGGGAGGGTCTCGGTTTGCATCTGGAGACCTCCTCTGGTACCCCAGGATGCATGTGCCCGTGATCCAGGGCTGGCTGAAGCTGGAGGTGGGTCGTGGCATGCAGATGCTGTTGGGAGTGCTGTCTCTCTGTCTCTGTCTAACTCTCTCTTGCTCATGGAAGAAACAAACTTTATAAGAAAAAATTGGAAAGAGGCCACATGTCTGCCACTGGGAAGCTGACCCACAGCAAAGCTGTGGTTTCTTCCTATAATGAAGACTATTCAGCAATAAAAAGGAGTCACCTGGGACCAGCAGTTAGCGTAATGGCTATGTCGCTGAACTCCCGTGTAGCCGACCACGGTTTGAATCCTGAACCCGGTGGCCTAAACTCACGCTGGGCGCGTGTGTGTGCGTGGCCAAGATCCCGAGAGGAGAATGGAGAAGGGATTGCGGCATGTCCATCCCCGCTGGGGGGTGATTTCTCGCTTTCTGTCTCTCTCTGTCTGTCTGGCGAGCACACGCGCCCTATAGCAAAAACCTCTCAAAAATATTTCTTTATTTAATTTTATTTGTTATTATTATTTATTCTTTAATTTGACCAAACCGCCAGGGAGAGAGAAGGGGAAAGTGAGAAAGCAAGCTGCCAGATCCAGGACTTGACCCGTGGTCAGCCATGTGGGAGCCCAGTTGCCTTAACCATCATGCCACCGGCTGGCCCCTGTTGGTCAAACTTCTAACAGGGAGAAACCTACAGTATGTAAATTGTACCTCAATAAACCTAACTAAAAAAAGGGCTGGGGGGTGGCCAGCAGGTGGCATAATGATTAGGGTGCTGGATTCCCACAGGACTGACTGCAGTTCGAGTCCCGAACCCAGTGGCTTGAAAACCATGCTGGGCGTTGTGTGTGTGTGTGTGTGTGTGTGTGTGTGTGTGTGTGTGTGTGCACGATCCTCAGAGGAGAATGAAGAAGGGACCGTGTGGCCATGCCCTCGAGGGGGTGATTTCTCACATTCCCTCTTACTGTCTCTCTCTGGCAAGAGCACAGGCCCATGGCAAAAACCTAAAAAAAAGGAAAGAAAAGAAAAAAAGAAGCCACCACCTAGAGAGGAAGAAATTCTTCAGTTACTCGTCAGTCTCCGTCCATCCATCCGACGGCCATTTTGCTGTGTCCGGCACCCAGATGTCTGTTGTCTGTGAACCACCCTCGCCTGTCTCGCACTGGGGAGCAGCGGGGGCAGGATGGCTGCATGGGGAGTGCGTCCCACTCCGACTGAGGAAGTCCCTCTGAACAAGGCTATTCCAGGGTCCCCACTCTCTCAGCCCAAAGACTCTCCCTTGAGGGACCCCTCACCAGCCTCAGGGCCTCCAGCCATGAAGGCTCCCCTGGGGTCATCTTCTGATTTAAGTTTTCACACCACTTTGGCTTCTTCTGTAAGAGAAGCCCCAGGGCCAGCAGGTGGCATAGTACTTAAAGGCACTGGATTCCCACATGGCTGACCGGGGTTCAAGTCCTAGACCTTGCAGCTTGCTCTCTCACTTTCCCTCTCTTTCTCTGTCTCTCTCTGGGGAGCGCACATACTCTACAGCAAATTCAAAAAATAATAATAATACTTAGGGACCAGCAGGTGGCATAGTACTTAAAGGCACTGGATTCCCACATGGCTGACCGGGGTTCAAGTCCTAGACCTTGCAGCTTGCTCTCTCACTTTCCCTCTCTTGCTTTCTATCTGATCAAACTGGAAAAAAAAATAGTAATAAGTAAAGTTAAATAAAATTTTAAAATAATAAGTTAATAATTAAAATAAAATAAATCTTTCTTTTTTAAATAGAAAAGGCAAGGAAATGAAGGCATGGGGCAGATTCTGAGCAGGGCACCGTCTTGGCTGCTTCCTTTTTGGGGCCAGGGAAGAGAGCTGAGGAAGTGCCAGGCGGGCACTGGGTGCTGGGCAGAACTCGGTGGGCACGGGCACCTGCACCATGTACGCCTCCTCCCTGGTGACACTTGCCTCAGTTTCCCAGGTTGGAGGTTGGCCTAGGCCCAGCACCTCAGAGCAGGCTGGCAGCAGCAGAGCACGGTGCTGTGACAGCCCTGGCTAACGTGCGTGACCACTGCATGCCAGGCCTGGGCCGAGCCCCCCGAGCCCTCCTGTAGCCTCTGAGGTCACTCTGACACTCCCCACTTCATACCAGGGGAAACTGAGCACGCGCAGCACCCCGCTGAGCCACCTCCCAGCTCCGCCTGATCACCCACCACGGGGATCCTAGGAGGCTTAGGCCAGCAGTCAGGACCCGAGGGCCGAGGGACCTGAGGTGGCGCTGTGCGAGGAGGCTCCTGGAAGCTCTGCTAGGGTGGCTGGTGCCAGGCAGGGTCACCCCCAGAAGAACGCAGAGGTTAGGGTTACGCAGAGGATCGTCGTGGGGAGGTGAGATGGGAGGGCACAGCAGGCGGAGAAAACAGCAGGGAAAAGGCGGGGGTCGGGGGGCAGGCATGCGTGTGCCACAGTCAGGGACTGGCTGAGGCTAGGGGCGGATTGTTGCACCAAGACTCTATGGGGGGGCAGTCTTTTGCCGCTCTTGCTCACTCGTGGAAGAAATAAAAAATACACTAAAGAACAAAGTGCACAGTTTATAAACAGTGTCGCGCGGACGCACCACTCCGCAGTGCGCTTTTGAGCTCTGCATGTTCCGTTCGCGGCCCATGCTCACTTAGCTCTAATTTATTCCTGCTCAGCGCACAGGACCCCACAGCACACACGCCACGTCTGACTAATCTATACTTTGCCGAAGGTAGCGGCTGTTTCCAGTTTCTCGCCATTAAAAGCCGCGCTGCCATCGACAGCCTTCGCCCGTGCGTGGGTTTCTAGCATACAGAGCTGGAAGACAGTAACGTGGCCACAGGGCAGGCGCAGCCCCGACCTAACGGAGCCGACCTTCTCTCTGAGGGCATGAACGGATGTCCCCGTTGTCTTCTGAATGGTCACAGCGTCCCCCTCACGTGGGGCTCCGGTCCACTGAGGTGCACGGTTTGCTCGCTGTTGAGCCCGCCTTGAGCTGATCCCACTCTTTGCCACATGGAGACCAGCAGTCCCAGCGCCACTCCTGACTGCCCCAAGGAGGCGTCCTTGCCAGGTTTCCAAGATGCCTGGGCTCCGCTCCTGGCGCCTGGTGGCATCAGGTTTTTAATAACAGCCTGACTGAGATATAATTCAGTGTCCAGTGTGGCCTCGAAGTGGACACTTCAGTGGGTTTTAGTACAGTCCCAAGACTGTGCCACCATTTTCATCACGCAGAAAGAAACCCTGTGTCTGTCAGTGCTCGCCCCTCGTTTCTTCCCAATCTCCCCGCCAGCCCCAGCAACCCCGGGTCCACTTTCTGTCTCGATGCACTTCCTGTTCTAGACTTCCATACGAACACAGACGGAGCCTGCTGTCTGCCTCCTTTCCTTTTTTTCTAAAGAATTATTTATTTGATTTTATTTATTATCAACCTTTTACTTTCTTTTCTTTCTTTTTTTTTTAAGAGAGATTTTTGCTATAGGGCGCATGCTCTCTCTGGAGAGACAGACACAGAGACAGAAAGCGAGAAATCACCCCCGGGCCATGCCGCAAACCCTTCTCCATGTCTCGGGATCTTGGGCACGCATGCACATGCGCCTGGTGTGAGCTTTAAGCCACAGGGTATGGGACTCAAATCGTGGTCAACTACGTGGGAGTCCAGCAACATAACCATTACGCCATCTGCTGGTCCTCCTCATCATTATTTTTCAGTTTAAGCAGAGAGACAGAGAGAGAGGGGAAAAGTGAGAAAGCAAGTCACCAGATCCAGGACTTGAACTGAGATTGGCCATGTGGGGGTCCAGCCTTAACTATCACGCCACCTGCCAGCCCCCTTCCTTTCTTTATTATCTATTTTTTAAAATACACATTTTAAAAGTTATTTAATTTTATTGATCATCATCATTATTTTTCAACTTACTATAAGGCATGCACACTTATGAGAGAGGAAGAAAGTGAGAAAGCAAGCCACCAAGTCCAGGACTCAAACTGTGGTTGGCCATGTGGGAGTCCAGTGCCCCAACCACCATGCCACCTTATGGCCCCTCTTTACTTTTTTTTAATTTGCAATAAGGCACATATGCTCACCAGAGAGAGACAGGGAGAGAAAGCAAGAAAACACACCCCAGATGGCCACACTCCAATCCCTTCTTTTCCATTCTCCTCTGGGGGTTTTGGGATGCATGCGTGTGTCACGTGCACACACACACGTCCAGTGTGTTTTTCAAGCTACTGGGTCTGGGACTTACACCGTACAGTTGGCCGTGTGGGCTCCAGCCTCCCTGACCACCACGTCACCTGCTGGCCCATGCCTGCCTTCTTTCACGTGGCACTAGGCTTGCAGGCCATCATGTTGGTGCGCCTGTCTGCAATGTGGACCCTGTCCCGGTGCACGGACGGGCCACTGGTCAGCAATGGACGCCTGCGTGTGCCCACCGCGGGCTAGTGTGAGTAATGCTGCTAAGGCCGGAGCGCAGTTTCTGGTGGGTCTGTGCTCGGGTTTCCCGCCCTAGGGTGCAGTCCTAGGGTGGAACTGCCGGGCCACGCGATAACTATGAGTTTAACATTTTCAGGAACTGCCAGTTTTCCAAAGTGGCGGCAGCATTTTTGTCATCTGATTTTTAAAATGACAGGACAGGACAGTGGTCAGTGAGAATGGTTGTGCTACGAGGAGCCCCACCTCCCTGTGGTGCCCTCAGGCCAGGCCACTCCTGCTGCTGCAGCTTACCTCCGCTGTCCCCTCCTGAACAGCCCAGCTCCTTCCTGCTGGCCAAATCCCTCCCTGCGTTTGGCCCTTTGAGCCCCCCGTGAACTCGGGCTAATGTCCAGCCTCCATCTGTGCAGAACCCCAAGCACTAAAGGTGGTCACCGTGGCCCCTGTGGCACCTCTCTTCAAAGTGCCATCGGCTTCTCTCAGAGCTCAGAGCACAGCGTACCCTGGCCGGGGTCACAGCTCAGCGGCCCATCACCTGGCACAGTCCCCAGCTGGAGTCTCTGCCCCATGTCACTGTCAGGACCGGGCAGACCCTCTGTGCCTGTGGCCCTGGCACACATCTGGACACACACAGGCGGTTGCCAAGTCCTGGTAGCTCCTTTGCTGGATCTCCCAGCCTCGTGGCCAGCCCTGCCTCCTCCTGTCTCCTCCTCCAATCTGTCACAGCCCCACCTGGGCCCCAAGGCTGCAGAGAGGCCTGGGCATGCCCTCAGGAGACAACTACTCTCTCATCTCCATGGTCTGGGAAGCCACTCGGCTTCTGTGGGCCTCTGTTACCTCATCTGTGAAATGGGCTGGCCATCCTCAAGCCCTGGGGCTGCCAAAGGGGCGTAGAAAAGAACACGCCCTGTGGACATAGCTTCCTGGGCGCCCTCCGCATTCTTCATGTGGACCACTGAGCTGGCTGAGGGCCCTGTCCTAAAAGGAAGGCGAGCAGGTCCAGGGCCTGGGGCCTGAGCCGCACACTCACGTTTTCACGTAGGGGTCCGAGTAGCCGTTGGCGTCCATGGCGGCCAGGTGTGCGCACCGCACGATGCCCACCAGCAGGCCCTGCTTCTGCGAGCTGTACTTGAGGGAGATGAGGATGCGGCCACGCTCCTCCAGGGACTTGTCTTCCGTCTTGTCCACCTGTTGGGCGAGGCGGTCACTCGCGGTCCTTGCCTGCTCCAGCCTCCCTCCGCCTTCCCCGGCCTTCATGTCCCGAGTTCGCCCACCGGGCCTTGTTGGGTCCCTGCTGAGTGAGTGGAACTGTGTCCTCCCACCTTTCTGCAGTCTCCCCCTCCTGGGTAGAGTCTGACCCTGAAGCTGAAGGGGCTGAGGCCGGCCTCCCAGCCTCCCCAGCCTGTGGGTCAGCCCACAGACTGCGTGGATTTCAAATTTTTTTGCACCAAGATAAACTTGTACTTTAACTCCATTTTCCCACAGACTCGTCGATGTCCCCACGTATGTCTTTACTGCCAGAGCAGCCATCCTAAACTGTACTCCTGTGGTCCCTGTGTGTCCCCAACTGGGTCAACGAGCTTGTCAAGTACAAGAGAAGCCCTGGCATGCTCTGATCGGCCCCGTGCACCAGCACGCACACACGCTCACCAACACACTCGGGTATCCACACATGTGAACACACACACACACACACGCACTTACATATGTTGCTACACTCTCACACACACACTCACAGCCACACTGCTGGTGTCTGCCGGTGGTCGGGCAAAACTGAGGAACATAGCAGAGGGCCGGTACTGCCCTTCCCAGTGCCACGGCGCACTGGGAAAGCGAGGCTACCTGTGCTCAGTGACTAAGAAGAACACGGAGAAGGTTACACCGATCCCACAAATGTCTGTGAGTGGGAGGGAACGTGACAAGGGAATAAAACTTGATCAGGTTATGCAAAAAGACAGAACTAGGATTCTGGGAGGAAGCTGGGGCCATGAGCTGATTTATTCCAAGGGCTTGACTAGGGCTGGGCTCGCTGAGGACCCATGTCTGAGGCTGGAGGCCCCACAGGCTGGGCACACAGCGATGGCTGCTGTCCTCGTCCTCTGGAGCTGTCCCTACGCAGGCCTCTCGGGGACAGTGTCACACTGCCAGGTTCAGAAAATGGGGCAACTGACAGCCAAGCATTTTTCTTGACGCCAGGGCCCTGGGGACTTTTGGCTGGGCCCTCCCATCCCCAAGGACCAGGTGAACGTGAGGTTATGGACAGAGGGGGGCAGGACAGCTGAGAGGGACAAACAGCCTAGGACTCTGGGACAGCTCTGCTGCCCTGACCCCCGATGGCTCATAGCCCTGGGGCTGAGGCCAGAGGGAGCCGGCCAGGGGACAAAATCTGTTCCGACATCATTGTTGAGCAATTGCAGTTTCTAGGAAAGAATTATTTGTCTCTGCTGGGACTCTCCCAGGCCCCGGAAGTCTAGCATGTTCCAGTCATGCTCCTGAGAATCGGGCCCCAGGGCCTCCCTCACGGTCCCCCTCCTAGGTAAGGCATTGTACCAGACTCAGCGAAGGCCGCTTCCTCCTTCCAGGGACCCAGACCCAGGCCCTCCTGACATCCATTCTGCATGTCCTGTCTAGAATCACGCCTCAAACGCCCTCCCGGTGGCTACTCTGAGCCCAGGAGGCAGCGAGCCTGCTAACTGCCGCGGGGCACCTCCTGGGCCCGTGTCACTCAGGCAGAGCCAGGTCCTCCCAGCTTCCTCCCGTGTCCCCCACCTCTCCGAGCTCACCTCCTCGGACTCCCCCTGCCCTGGCTCTCTCTGCTCCATCATTAGAACCACAGTGCCCGGAATGGGTGGGAGGGTCTGTCTCCTCAGCACCTGCAGCCGTGCCAGGCACACAGGAGGTGCCCAGCAAACCCTCTAGGCCCTGAGCTCCCGACGGGAAGGGCCCGGTGAGAGTGTGCGGCCCGCTCACCGGCAGCTGCTTCTCCAGGCAGATGCTGAACGTCTTGGTGTGGTTGGGCTTCAGCTTCTTCAGGGGCACCCGCGTCTCCCCGATGAACTCGTTGTGGCGGAACTTATCCTCGTCGCACACGGAGATCCTGGGGGGCAAGGGGCACAGCCGGCACCTCAGCAGACGGCGCTCCCAACCTGCTTCTGAGGTCGGTGGGGCTCGGCACTGGGGGGGTTCGAGGGCTCCTGTGGACAAGGCCGGGCTAGGGCTGGGGGTGGGGGGCAGGTGGCCCAGGGGCCCTCACCCACCGCAGGGTCTTGCGGATCATGTCTTCGTCTGTGATCCCATAGTAAGTGAGGGTCTCATTCCAGGTGGGGTTCAGAGTGTTACGGAGAGTTTTTGTTCGGAGTTTATTTGCCTGGAAAAAGAAAACAGCATCTTACTAGCACCAGGAAGTGTGTTAGGCAGAATAACAGCCACCAAGTGGCCATGTCTGAGTCCCGGGAACCTGCGGATATGTTACCTGCCATGGCAAAGGGGAACTGAGGTTGTGGGTGGAATTAAGGTTATTAATGAGCTGATTTTAAAATAGGGTGATTATCCCAGATTAGCTGGCTGGCCAATGTAGTCACAGGGGTCCTTAAAAGCAGAAGAGGGTTGGGACTAGCAGTTAGCGTAATGGCTATGCCGCTGGACTCCCATGTAGTTGACTGCAGTTCGAATCCCAGACCCAGTGGCTTAAACCCACGCCAGGCATGTGTGCGTGCGTGCCCAAGATCCTGAGAGGAGAATGGAGGAGAAAGGATTGTGGTGTGTCCATCCCCCTTGCGGGGCGATTTCTTGCTTTCTGCGTCTCTTTCTGTCTTTCTGGCGAGCACACGCACCCTACAGCAAAAAAGCCTCTCCTCTGCACCCCCCAAAAAAGTGGAAGAGGGGCCAGCCTTCTGGCACAGCAGCAACACACTGCTCAAGTGATGCTGGATCCACACAGGAGGTTGTGGGTTTGGTTCCCCAGATGACCTGTATACACACGCCCGAGAGCTGGCCTGTACACAGCGGGACTCGAACCATGCAGTCAGCAACTTGGGATCCAGCTGCCTCTCACCTAACATGCCTCCAGTTGGCCCAAGGAGACCGCTCTGTATACAACACTGCTCTACGTGGGGGTCCAGGGAACTTGGCAGCCAGGTACTGCCTGGTGGGTCTCATAAGTCTCAGGGCTCACGGTCATGGAGCTGCCACCTCGGGTACACTCCCTCCACCACACTCAGCCACACAGCCCAGGCGTGCCGGCAGCCTGAGGACACGTCAGCCTGGAGTGGGGGGCCCAGTTCTCTAGGAGTAGGTGGTGGGGCCTGGTATTTCTCCTACAGCTCCGTCCTCCCTAGGAAGAAGTGGTGGCTCCTTCTGGGATGGTCCCTCCTAGACAGGTAGGAGCCCTGGCCCTATACACTTGGGCCCCAAAGTCAGCTCTGGCTCAGCCCCCATGAAATTAAAAACAAAACGCTGAACTGTGAAACGCATATAAGGAGGTCTAGAGCAACTTGTCTTCTCCCTTTCTAGAGACGCCCGCTGTTCTGGTGCCCTGAACTTGGGCTTGACCGGCCTCTTGGGTCACCTGGCCTGGGAACAAGGGCTCTGTGGGCAACGAGCTTGGCAGATGCTGCCCACCCAGCCCCCTTAGGGCGAGCCACCGAGTAGCCCACCCATGCGTTAAAGGCTCAGGTAAGTCCTGTTTCCCGACATGACTTGACCACAGAGACCTTTTTCTACACGTAATAACCTCCAGCTGAGAATGCTTATAAAACGCTGGCCTGGACGTGATCCTGGGAGGGGCGGTTCCCCAGCCCAGAGCAGGTCATGAGGCCCTTGCAGGGTGTGGGGCTGACTGGGTGCTCCGAGTAGAGGTGAACGGCTGAGGTCCCACCAGCTTGCTTGGGCTCCGAGGGGGTGTGGTAGCTGTGGCCTCGCTGGGTCCAATCCTGACCCCACCGCCACAGCGGGCAGAGCTGGTGGGCAGGCCTGGTGGGACCCCTCACCTTACTGGCTCCCGGCAGCAGGTGCAGTTTGACGTAGGGGTCTGCAAGCCCATTGTGGTCCATCGGCTTCAGGCCCTGTGTGGAGAAGAGCAAAGGGTGAGCGGTAGACTTCAGGGAGACAGCGCGCCTGGGCCCTTGGGCCTCCTGGCGGGTCCCTTCATGCTCTCTTCACAGGAGCTCCAGGCCCGCAGCCCCAGGCGGGGGAGTGAGGACTGCTCAGTGTTGGAGCCACCTCCTGCCTCCAGCGCAGCTGTGGGGCCTCTTTCCCAGAATAGCCTTCCTCTCTCCAGCCTCCCTTACTCCCGAGGCAGGTGAGTCACACTCAGCCCACGCTACCTGCCTGGCCCAGGCTCCTCCCGCTTCCTGACACCCCTCCTCCATTTCCAGACATGGTGGTCTTCCCTCCCTGACCCCGAATCCCCGTAACCTCTGTCCCGTCATCCCCACACTCCCCTTCGCAGCCCTGGGGAAGTGGTCTTGGTCCTGGGAGACCGTCCGAGACCAGGCTCCATTCCTCTCTGCATTGGCCAGACCCAGCCAGCGCCCTCAGTGGTCACCCTCTCCGGGCACGGAGGGCCCCCACAAGATGGCACCCTTGCTAACTCTGCCTCCAGCTCCTTCGGAAAGCTAGGTCCAGTGTGCACAGCCAGGGGGCAGACGGGCCGCGACGGGGAGGGCTTAGCTGACCTCCCACACGCTCTTACTTCTGGAAACTGCATGATTTTTCTTCTGAAAACGGATGGGAGGTGGGAGATGGCTGTGGCAGGCTGGGACCACATGGGAGGCCTGGGTTCAATTCCCGGTCCAACCTAAAGGCTGGCACAGTGGTGTGCACCTGTAATCCTGGGACTCAGGAGATAAGGCAGGGGACCGCGAGGACTGTGATCTGGCGACACAGTGAGACCCTGTCTAAGGAAGAGCTGGGTGTGGCGCGCACCTACGGTCCCAGCTGGGAGGCTGAGGACAAGGGTAGCAGCCTGGTGAGACCCTGTCCAAGAAGGCAAAAGCAACCAAAGAATTGCCAGATTTCTGCACGGTGGGGTGGAGTCGGGTGGGGCAGAGGCAGCTGTACAGCTTCAGACCAAGCCCACCTCCGAGGGGAGTCTGAAAAAGCTCCAGGCGAAGGCTGAGATTTGAGGTGGGGACTTCCAACCACCCACTTCTCTGCCTGGGTTCTGATCCAGCCCCTGCACTTATTAGTTACTAAATGGATGAGCAATTTGGGCCCTCAGGCTCAGCTTTGTCATCTGTAAACCGGGTCGATTATTCTAGCTTCCTAGTTGTGAGCAGCTGCAGGGCGGTGGGCGGGGTGCTGCCCTGCTCTCCAGATGCCAGGCCCTGGGCCTGGGTCCTGAAGGGGGACCTCACAGGCAGGACCTCCCTTCTCCGGGTACTGTGCCTGTAAGAGGTGAAACTGATTCTGCGCCTGAGGGGCTGGGTCTTCCAGCAGGGCGGGCAGAGAAGGTGCTGAGGGGAGGCTGAGGTGGCCACCAGGAGGCAGCCACCAGCACAGGGCAGACTGTGGGGGGTGGCTCCAGCTTTGAGAAGAGAGCCTTCCCTGAAACCTTGGCCCTGGCCCTGCCTGGGCCCTCGTCAAAGCCAAGTCCCAAGTATCATTCGGCCTCAAAAAGGAAGGAACCTGCCATGTGCCCCAACGCGGATAAGCCTCCGCACACTGTGCTCTGTGACGTTAGCCACAGGACAGGTACCGCCTGGTCCCACTGACGAGGGGGCCCTGGTGCGGTCAAGTCAGAGGCGGCAGCAGGGCTGCGGAGGGAGCGGGAGCTGTTTCCTGGCACAGAGGTTGTCGTGCAGGTGAACATCGTCCAGCAAATGCACTCCCCACCGCTGAACTGGGCGGGTAATCACGGGGAACGAGGGCACCTTTTGTGCTCATGTATTTTCACACACACACACACACACACACACACACACACAAACAAAAAACAAAAAACAAGGGACCAGCACTTGGTGTAATGGCTATGTTGCTGGACTCCCATGTAGTCGCCCATGGTTCGAGTCTCGGACCCGGTGGCTTAAACTTACACCGGGTGCGTGTGCGTGCGTGCCCAAGATCCCGAGAGGAGAATGGAGGAGAAGGGATTGCGGCGTGGCCGTCCCCCGCTGGAGGGTGATTTCTCGCTTTCTATTTCTCTGTCTCTTTCTGGTGAGCGCATGCTCCCCATAGCAAAAAGCCTCTCCCCCCACACACACACACCAAAAAAAAAGAAAAAAAACACACACACATAAAAAAAACAGAAAACGAAATTGGGGTCTCCCAAGATTGGTGGCTCTGTTGGGGTTTGGGGCCTGCGTGTCCCTGTGTATGGGCGTGTGTCGCCAGGCGCCATTCTGCAGGGCGGCATTAGGACGCTTACGTGGCCAGGTGCTGTGTGTGGCGCCCAGGGCGGTGGGGAGGATCAGCCTGTTTTACAGGTGGCCACCAAGACCAAGCCTTCGTCAGGGGTGGGTGGTGAGGGCCAGCCCCGGGAACCTCTGGGCTCTCCCCTAAGGATCCCCGAGAGAACCTGCCTAGGCAGCTTCTCCCTGACCTGGGGGCCCTGCTCCAGAGCCCCAGCTCCTCCCATGCCCGTGCCTGCAGAATGGGATTTACAGAGAAGGACCTGGAGAATGTGGACCTCCCATCCCTGGTCTTGGGTCCCCGGAGGGACACGTCTTGTGGTGGACACATGTGCACACGCAGAGGTGCACACACACCTGGAGCCGGGTAAGGAGGGTGAGCACATAGGCAGGAGGGATCCTGGGGTGTGGGATGGGTGGAGAGGGGTGGGCTCTGGCCAGAGCCACCTGACAGCCAGAGCCCAAGCCTGGCCAACATCTACAAAGCTGGGCGGAGGGAGAAGAGGAGGGGTGTGCCCAGGCCCCACCACCTGGCCTCCACATTGGCAGAGCTGGGGGCCACCAGATGCTCAGCTCTGTCCCTGAACCTCAGCCTGGGTAGTGCCCAGAGAAGGCAGAGGTCAAGGAGGAGTGTACAAGCCTCCAGGTGTCTGGACCCAGCATGAATGGTGTTCACGCCAGCCCATGGCAGTCCACGAGGTGGGCCTGGCTGGTTGGAGGACAATACCAGGCAGTCTGTCCGTCTGGTGGCACAGAGCCAAGGGCAGCCCCACAGCTGGCAGGGTGGGAGGGGGCAGCGGGTGAAGCCTGTGGATGAGGAGGCTGGGCTGAGTCTGGGCCAGCTCTGCGGGAGACCCCTGGTGTGAGCAGAGCCAGCCCAGGCCCTTCCGCAGCCCTACTGGGTGCGGCACGCAGGCCCTTACCTTGCGAGAGAACATCAACTTTGGCACCTTCCTCCCAGAGGGAGCGATGCAGAGAGGGACGAAGGGAACAGGGTGGTTGAGAACAGAGCCGACACAGGCTGGCACAAGGGGCAGGGCCAGGGAGCCCCAGGGTCCTGGCTGGGCCGCAGTGGGTCCATAGACACCACAACCCTGCCCAGGCAGCAAGGCTTGGACAGACTTTCGGATTAGGCCAGGAGACGCTCACAGCGCTATGTGGGTGGGTGGTCGGCCCTGCTTTCAGATGAGCACACTGAGACCGACCCCTTCCCAGAGGGTGGGTGGCCGGGCGGAGTCCGGATCCTCCCAAAGGCTCCTGAGAGACTGCACTGCCAGCCCTGCTTCAGCTCCCTCACCTGGGGGCTCTTCCCACGCAACCCACCCCCAGATCCTGGAGTGGTGTCAGCCTCCCAAGCAGGACGCGGAGCCCACCGCTGGGCTGGCACCTGCTCTCACACCCTCAGGCGTGGCCTGCAGGACAGACAGGTCATCTCCCCGACCTCTTCCCTCCTGGAGTATGCGGGCCTCTGTCCTCGAAAGCCCGGCCTCGGCCTCCACATCCTCTCCTTCTCACCTGTTTCTTCATTTTATTTCTGTCCCCAAAGCCTTACTCTCAGGGCTGTTTCTGGGGACGAGATAGTCGGGGCAGGAATTCCCTCCCTGCCCTGCAGCCCACATAGCAAAGACAGCATGCGGTCTGGATGGGGGAAGGATGGGCCTCCCACCCCCAGGACCTGGACTCAGGCGTGGGGCGGCTGTGGTGCCCACCTTGGCCTTGCTGATGGTGCAGTGGAGGGCGTTGTTCTCCTGGTCGTACAGCAGGCTGAAGTCCAGTGTGCCCAGGGCAGCTGCGGGCAAGAAGGCAAGGTGACACAGCAGCCACATCATGGAGAAGTTTGCCACTGTGTGGCCAAATGAGCTGAATTAAAAAAAAATTATTGGGGCCAGTGGTTTGCCTAATGGATATTTTGCTGGACTCCCATGTAGTCGACCGCGGTTCGAGTCCCGGACTTGGTGGCTCAAACTCACGCCAGGCGCATGTGCGTGCGTGCCCAAGATCCTGAGACGAGAATGGAGGAGAAGGGATTGCGGCGTGACCATCCCCCCTGGGGGGTGATTTCTCGCTTTCTGTCTCTCTGTATCTCTCTGTCTTTCTGGCGAGTGTACGTGCCCTATACAAAAAAAACTCTCAAAAATTATTTATTTAATATTATTTGTAATTATTATTTATTTTAAAATTCCACCAGAAAGAGACAGCAAGAGAAAGTGAGAAAGCAAGCTGCCGGGTCTGGCACTCGGACTGCAGTGACTTTGTGGGAGTCTAGCGCCCCAACTACCACACCACCTACCAGGCCCCCTGCATTTTTTTTTTTTTTTAATCACCAGAGGGGCACGTGTGCTCACAGAGAGAGAGAGCACGGGGCATGGTCGTGGTGCCTGTTGGAATTTTGGACATGTATGCATGGCTGGCAAGTTTTTCAAACCACTGGGGCCGGAAGAGAACTGCAGTTGGCCATGTGGACTTTGGCTCCCTTAAGCACTAGGCTATGGGGCTGACCTGACAATTTCTCCCCTCAAGATTCAAAAGATTTATTTGGACAAAGATAATCCTTAATAACCCTTCTCCTAATATTTGAAATGTAGGCCGCAAATCCAATTTCATAGACCACGAATGGTTTATACCGACAAAACTCCCAACCTCCTACCACGATTGCCGTAGCTCTAAGCTTCCATCTTCAGGGCTGCTTGCTCAAGCCGAAAAGCAAAATCATTTTCATTTTAAAAGACTAGGATTAGTTAAAGCAACTAAAGTGTTACTATTGCCACAAAATTTAGTAAAAGCATAAGAGAACACCACTGGGGCCAGCAGGTGACATGGAGGTTAAGGTGCTGGATCTCACATGGCCAACTCCACAGTTTGAGTCCTGGACCTGGTGGCCTAAAAGACACACCAGGCACGTGTGCGTGCCCAAAATCCCAAGAGGAGAACGGAGGAGAAGGGACTGCAGCACGGCCATTTCCCACAGGGGGTGGTTCCTTACCTTCCCCCTCTCTGTCTCTTTCCGTGAGTGCAAGGGTCCAATGGCAAAAACATAAGAAACAAAAAAACACACCACTAATATTGAAAAAGTATCTCCAATTTTTTTTAAGAGAGATTTTTGCTACAGGGCACATGCGCTCACTGGAGAGACAGAGACACAGAAAGCAAGAAATCACCCTCAGGGAGGCTGACCATGCCAGAATCTGATCTCCTCCATTCTCCTCTCAGGATCTTGGGCACTCACATAAACGTGCCCTGTGTGAGTTTCAGCCGCCAGGTCCAGGACTTGAACTGCAGTCAACCACATGGGAGTCCAGGTGCACTGTGTGAGCTTCACTGCTGGTCTCCAGGACTTGAACTGCAGTCAACCACATGGGAGTCAGGGCCTTAACCACTATGCCACCTGCTGGTCTCCCAAATGATTTCTTTATAGATTAAATAGCCACATAGATTTGTACTGTAGCATATCTGTATTTAGCTAATGTCACAAACACATCTTTTCAAAGCTTATCGGTGTATTTTTTCCATGAGAGACAGAGAAAGAGAGCACTCCCAACACGACCTTGACTCCACAACCCACCCCAGCTCCAGCAGCCTGGATCACAGCACCCGCTGGGTACTGGAGGACCAAGGGCCTCCCATGGGGTCCAGTCGCACCACTGCTACACCCCGATCCGGGCCACAGACACATCTGGACCGCCACATGATGAGGGCCCTCACCACCGGTCTAATCTACAAAGTTTATAAATAAAATATAAAAACACCAAGAAAAGGTTTATAATCTACGTACATCGACAGTACAACCGACCGTTTCTTCCAGGTAACACGTGTACAGGCATATCGCGGATCTTTTCCTAAATAACCAAGAATGAAAAAAGCCACAATCCCCAAGGTAACTGCCACCAACTGAGCTCTGTAGGAGGGGGATCTTTTCCTCTTTTTAAGAAGAGTTATTTACTGGCCCAGGCAGGTGGTGTGATGGTTAAGGGTGTTGGACTCCCACATGGCCAACTGCAGTTCAAGTCCTGGACCTGGCGTCTTGCTTTCTCACTTTCTTTCTCTCTCTCTCTCTCATTCTGTCCCTCTCTGGTCAAATTAAAATAAAAAAATAAAGTTAAATAAAAATAACTCTGAAAAAAAGGTTTATTTATTTATTTATTTATCGTTATTGATAATGGCCTTGGAAGGGGAGGATCTTTTAAAAGTTCACAGAGGGCTAGCAGCTGGTGTGGTGGTGGAGTTCAGGTGCTGGACTCCCACATGGCCGACTGTGGTTCAGGTCCTGGACCTGGTAACTTGCTTTCTTACTTTCTCCCTCTCTCTCTCTGGTGAGCATACATTCCCTACAGTAAAACAATAATAATAATGGGACCAGCAGTTAGTGTAATGGCTATGTCGCTGGACTCCCTGGGCCCAGCAGTTAGTGTAATGGCTATGTCGCTGGACTCCCATGTAGTCGACTGTGGTTCGAGTCCCGGACCCAGTGACTTAAACTTATGCCGGGCGCGTGTGCGTGCGTGCCCAAGATCCTGAGAGGAGAATGGAGGAGAAGGGATTGCGGCGTGACCATCCCCTATGGGAGGTGATTTCTCGCTTTCTGTATCTCTGTCTCTCTCTCTTTCTGGTGAGCGCATGCGCCCTATAGCAAAAAACCTCTCAAATAATAATAACAATAATTAAACTAACTAAATTATTTTTTGAAAGTTTACAGAAAGGGTGTAAAAGTTTGGAAAAATTTCAAAACTTTTTGCCCCAAATTAGCTCATCCTTTAATTCCATCTTCCTATAAAATTTTTTTTAATTGCTAGAGGGTACGCGTGCTCACCAGGAGCCAGAGGGACAGTGAGGGAGAAAGGCGAACGTGCTCCCCCAACGGGACGTGGTCACACTACAATGCCCTCTTCTCCATCCTGTCGGGATTTGGGACACACACACACACACACACACACACACACGCTTGGCATGTTTATCAAGTCGCCAGGGCTGGGATTCCAACTGCGGTCGGCCATGTGGGACCTGGCTCCCGTAACTACTAGCTGTGAGGCCGGCCCTCCACGAACTTGTTGAAGTCCCCTGTGTGCCAATCCCTTCACCACCTCCCCAGTCCCACTCAGTGCTGAGAAGTGACACTATTTTTCAGATGAGGAGCTGAGTGGGGCTCAGTGACCCTGGTTACGTTGCGTGGTAGTCGGGTGGCCGACCCAGAGCCAAGGCCGGTAACCCCCGCACTGCTCAGCCAGCAGCTGGCCCAGCGTGGCGTACAGCACCCAGCTAAAGGAGTTCCCGCCCTCCTTGTGTAACTCCCAGGTTGGGTTCCACAGCTCAGTGTCCCTCACCCGTGAAATGTCACAAAGATTGCATGAGCAGGCAGAGTGCTGTGGCTTTGAGAGGCTGCCTGCCCTGGGCGGGCAGACAGGCTGAGACGCTCACCGCCCCCCTCCCCCAGGCAATATGTAGTCTCTCTGGGTCCTTGGGGACCCTGGGCAGGCTGCAAGGAGCCAGCTGGGTCTCATGCTTTGCCCCTCTCAAAGGCAGTGGTGACTTCTAAGGGCCAGGCGGAGGGGGCAGCAATAATTGGGTGCAGCTGCGCCCCTCGGGGGTGATCACACACAGCAGCTGTGGCCTTCCATGCCCAAGTGGCTCCCAGCAGGAAGGCCAAGGTGGGGGGCAGGGGCAGGCTCAGGGACAGTCCCCAGACAGCAAGATGCTCAGTCCCAGCATCTCCGAAGCCCAGCTGCTGCTCTCAGGCCGCTGGACCGGTCAGCTGGTGCCTCATCCACCCACACATTATTTACCAAGGGTTTACGGGATGCCAGACTCTAGGGATGGAGATATCTATCGGGGGCTCCAGGGCACAGCGGTAATGTGCTGTTCAAGAGAAGCCAGACCCAGGCCAGCAGGTGGCGTGGTGGCTAAGGTGCTGGATTCCCACATGGCTGATTGCAGTTCGAGTTCTGGACCTGGTGGTTTGAAAATCATGTCGGGCATGTGTGCGTGTGTGCCAACAATCCCAAGGGGAGGGTAGAGAAGGGACTGCAGTATGGCCACCCCCCTCGGGAGGTGATTCTTCACTTTCCTTCTCTCTGTCTCTCTCTAGTAAGCTCATATGCCCTATGGCCAAAACAAACCAAAAAAAAAAAAAAAAGGAAGAGGAAAAGCAGGAGGGGAAAGAGAGGGGGAGAAGGAGAAGGAGAAGGGTCCCTGTCTCCAAGGAAGGAGCATCTTAATAAGAGGAGCAGATGAAAAGAAGTTGCAGCAGAAGAGCCTGGTGAACCAGGAGCCATGGGGGCCCAGGGAAACCGTCAGGGAAGGCTTCCTGGAGGAGGTAATGATTCACAGGCGCCATGAGGGATAAGTAGGAGTTAGCCAGTGGCCTAGTGGGGCTCGGGGAGGAGGTATTCCCACCATGGACCAACCGGTCGGTAGGTACTCGGCGACTGGAGTGATGCCGGTGAGGGAACAGCCGGACTCAAAAGACTTGTTCAGGCCGAGGGATGGTGCTCGACTCCCACCTCGGGTCTAGATAAACTGTGTTCCTCTGCCCAAATCTGCCCATGCCCCTCACGCTCTTGCCTGAGGCATTTCCCCCTAAGAGGGCAGAGGCAGGTAGAAGCAGCCAGACCACAAGGCCCACAGGGCTGAATATACATACTACCCGGCCCTGCACAGGAAGGGTCTGTGGGTCCTGGGCTCATGCTGGGGCCCAGGCGTGACAGTTCCTAGGGCCTCCGGGAAATACGAGTGTGCAGCTGCCTTGTCTGAGCTGGCGCTAGGACAGAGCGGGGCTCACAGCTCTGACCTTGCCTGCAGTAGTGTGGGCAGCACAGGGCACGTGATGTGGCCGGGGTTCAAATCCCAGCCTGGCACTCACCTGCTCTGGGACCTCAGACAGCTTATCTTACTTCTTCCCCACCTCTGAGGTTATTTATTTATATTTATTAGTTCCACGAGCAAGAGAGATAGGAAGAGAGGCAGACAAGACAACACCCCAACAGGGTCTCGAGGCTGCGATCCAGTCTGAGCCTCGGCCACCCTGGATCGTGGCACACACGCTTCCCACTGAGCCTCGGCCACCCTGGATCGTGGCACACATGCTTCCCACGTGCTCAGGGAGGTTCTGGGTTCCCATGTGAGACGGTCTCGTCAGGGAGGTCCTGGGATGGGAACCCAGAACCTCCCATGTGAGACGGTCTCGCGGAGTGTCGTTTTACAATGGCGCCGCCATCGCCCCTGCTCACCTAACCTCTGTCTCAGTTTCCCCTCTGAGCATCCATGTCACAGCACACAGGGTGCGGTTTGGGACGTGCCCGGCAGATGATTAGTGGAGAAGCGGATGCATTTAGTGACTTTTCTAGATCACTGGACTTGCCCCTCAGAGACCTATTCTGGAATGAAACCGTTTTAAACTGGATCACTCCCTTCCTGCCTTTGGGAGCAAAAGATACAAATGGTCCCTTAAGCTTTTCAGAACCTGAGTCATGGCTGTGGCTCCGATGACTCTTCCGGATGTTACAGTCATAGGTGCAGAGGGGGGTGTTAGGGTGACCCTTCCACCAGGTGGTCTCTGGTGGCACTCTTTTTAAGGTTTTGTTTTTCTGTCTCCCACTTGAAACTCCTATTAGCGCACGGCCAGCCTTGTGCCCAATTCTCCTGCGAGACCAGGTGAGGGCATGCGTCAGAACTGTGTCCAGACTGAATCGGGGGTGCCGAGGGGGGCCCAGGAGCTTTCCCCGAGCTAAGGCTGTGTGCTATCGAGGTCACCGTACCCCAGTTCCCATGTCCGCACCTGGGCAGGTAAGGATGGCTAAGGCAGGCGTGTGTGAGGAGGGTCTTTGTGGGAATTGTGTATTATGAAAAATTATGCCTGAGTTTCAATTTTTTTTGCGCCAAAATAAACTATTTTAAGTAGTTTTCCCCCACATTAACTGCTGGAAGTCTCTTATATCTCCTTCCCTGTAACAACGGGCACAGCCACAAGGCCCACGAGTCACGAAGTCCACGCCTTCGTAATAACGTTCTCCAAAGCTGGTGGGCTTTACGTTGATGGGAAATGGATTTACTGCCTGCTCTTCGCCGCTTCCCCAAGACATGAGGCTCCCGAGGGCAGGGCCCCTGCCTTGGCCACACCGTGGGACCGGCCAGGAGCAGACGCTCCCGTCCACACGGCTGGTCCATTCCATTAACTCGCTCTCCAGTTGCTCACGAAGGGGATTTGCTGGGAGCCCCACGTGTGGAAGCACGCACTCCTGGATTTCGGCCTGCGTCCTAATCCCAGAGAAGAACAAGCCAGTGAGATGGAGGGGCTGCCTGCTCTCCGCTGGGGAACTCAGCTCTGGGGAAGGGGGGCCGAGGAGCTCCTTCCGTGGACTCTACAGAAACCTCTGAGCAAGGAGGGCTTGACTGCTCCTTGGGGGAAAAGGCAGCTATTACCACTTCCTGGAAGGAGCGGCGTGCCGTGTGCTCCCAGGATGGGACTGCTGAATTTCTCTGAACTCCAGCGGAAGTTCTGGAAGAAATAATAGTCTATAAATAGAAGCTTGGTCACAATTTCAAGAGCTGTGGCGGTGGCGAAGCCCTCTTAGGGAATATAAGGCCTAACGTCTTCACTTCCTTTCAGAGAAGAGGCTCAGAGAGGGGAGATAGCCTGGTGAGGGTGGCCCAGCAAAGCCGGGTACAGAATCCAGGTCTCTCTGCTCCCATCCAGAGAGCTTCTGCCTTAAAGCCTAATGGCTCCCCAAACCTCTTTGCTGCGTTGTTTAGCTAAAACCTTAGGCAGATACAATTAAGAAACAAAAGAGAAAAGCAGAGTTGGTCTTGGGGAACAAAAGCGGGGGCTCAGCCGTTGCCCTCAGCGTTGGAAAAGCACCCTGGGCTGTGGTGAGGGCGAGGGGGCCCTCAGGGCAGGGAAGGTGCTTCTCCGTGTGAGCCACCCCAATCACTGAAGCCCGAAAGTTTACATCTTTGGAAAAATAATGAGGGTTGGTCACTAATGGGCCTTTGAGAGTAGTCACCCGCTTGTTGATAATTATAGCGCTTTAATGGGGCTAATTCAGAGAAAATCAAGCGCAAGCCCCTGTTGGTTCCTCTGAGGCTGAACATGGCCCTGGTCGGCTGATGGAGACCGGCAGTACCATTACGACCTTGCCGTGCGCCTGGACGGTCCTGGCCCATATACTCCTGGGAATAGGGAAGCAGCCCTGGTTTTCTTTTTTGTCTTTTAATTTCTTTTTTTTTTTCAAAGAAAAATACCAGCCTCACAAATAGTCCGAAAAACCCGAACCAAACCTGAAAACCAAGAGCAAGAGCCAGAGCAAATTCTTTAGCCTGAGTTGAAACCATTTCAGAGGCAGGAAAACCGAGGCACCGAGCCTGGCAGGTACAGCAGGGGCGGCAGAGAGGAATGAGTCATCCAGACTGCTTTGCAGGAGCTCAGGGGCAGAGTTTAAGACTTCCATAAACCTCATTATTCGCCTGGTTTAAATTGCTCAATGGTTCACCATCACCGGCTGAACTCACTTCTTCGGAGCTCTGTTCTTCCGTCTCTTGCCCTGGCTTCAGCCACTCGGCTCTGTGGTCCTGCCCCCGCTGGGCTGTTCCCAGCTCTGCAGTAGCGGTGCCACAGCTGTCCCTCTGCCAGGAGCACCTCCCTCCTGGGACGGATGGAGTTTACTTATTTATAGTTATTACTTCCATGAGCAAGAGAGACAGGGAGAGAGGTAGACAAGCCAGCACCCCAACAGGGTCTCGAGGCTGCGATCCAGCCTCTGCCACTCCCGGATCCTGGCACCACGCTCCCCACGTGCTCAGGGAGGTCTCCGGATGGGAACCCAGACCCTCCCGTGTGGGTCAGCCTCACGGAGTATTGTGCCCCCAGTGGGGGATGTGATGCCAGGTCCAGGCAAAACATGACTGAGGCCTAAAGAGGTTCTGGGTTTAAAGGCCTCGCAGTCAGTGAGGACGGGATATACTGTCAGCTGAGAGCTTTGGGGCAGGCTCAACGGTGACCCCTGCCCTTTGTTCTAGCTCCAGACCTCCCTAGCCCCAGTTCTGCCCCAGCCCCAGCCCCAGCGTGAATCAGGCAGGCACAGGTTTAAGCACGGGCATGTGATGGAACTCTGGCAGTGAGACAAAGGACAGGTCTCCTGCGAGACCCCTGGGAGAGGTCTCCTTGCTCTTAAATTGAGACACAGAGGAGGAAGCTGGTCCTCATCAAATCTTGTTACATGTGATACCTGGGTCCACAGCAGCTGCCTTGGGCCATGAGGGTCCTGCTTAGCTAATGGAGGCCGACAGTGTCATTATGACCTTGGTCTGCACCTGGACTGTCCTGACCCCTGGGAAACAGAAAATATACGTTGATTTCTGTCTTAAGAGGAAGGCAGCATGACCAAGAGGAAAGATGGGCAGAACCGTCACCACTGACAGCTGACAAGCTCCCGCATCAGTGTATGCAGGCGCCACCAGACCTCAGCTGACCTCGTTATTTAAGCCACTTCGAGTTGGTTTTCTATTCCTTGCAACCCAGAGCACCCCAGTCGCTACAGCTTTGAGGAATGCACCGGGCGGTCACAGGTGGGGCCCAGGTGGGAGAGCATCCCAGGAGCAGCGGGATCCAGTGCAGGAGACGCTGGGGGAGAGCACCGGGCAGTGCTTCGCATTCTAGCACTTCCCTTCCTCCCCATAGCACCTTCTGTGAGCGCCCTGAGTTGTGTGCTGTGCTTGGAGGTGGCTTAATAATGGATGGGATGGGCTTTCAAGACAGGGGGGGAAAGGCCGAGCAGAGAAATCACCCTTCACTCTCGGCCTTGGACGACAGCAACCGCCCTAATTTCTTTTTGTCAGAACAGATAATCCAATAATTAGGGCAGCAAATAGCATAACCCTGGCTAAAGCCGTAATGAACCATCTGGCTTGAATCATTTAGACTTATTCTAGGGATCTGGTTGTCAGAGCCCAGAGAGGGTGCTGCCTGGGGTTCTGGGAGTGTGGTCCTGCCCCAGAACCTATGCCCCCACCTTGGAGAGCCGAGATTTCTGGGCTCCCATCGGTGGGGTGTTTGCTCGGCCACTGAGGGGCTCTGAGTCTGGCAGAGGGTGGCCCCTGAAGTGAGTTTGGCCACACAGCCTCTGCCTCTGCCACCTTCTTTTCAGTATTTCTGTAGCTGGTCCTAGTGATATGGGTGTGGCCCGCCACAGGAAGGCCTGGTACTACAGAGCCCAGCTGGATGCTGTGCATGCGGAGCCCCCCTGCTTCGCGGGTGCCCTCCTGCTTCGCGGGTACCCCCTGCTGCTGGGACAGTGCTGCTAAGCCCTTGGGCTGGAGATGGGGTTGCTGGCCTGAGCCCTGGACTTTCCCGTCCCTCCTTGCCTGTGGGTTCAGGGGCAGCCAAAAGAAATGAGATTTCTGACCTTTCCACCATATGTCACCCAGAGGGTCCTCTGTGGTACCTAGGGGGAGGCCAGAGGAGCATAGCTTGAATGATTCAGGGCAGCCAAAGGGCTGACTTGGGTCCCAGTTAGGGCCTGTCCAGAGGTGCAAGTGAAAGGTGCGCTTTGCACACCTTGTTCAAAGAGTTGAGGGTTGAGGGGAGATGCAGGGTACAGCCCTGCGGGCAATAAACTCTCGACCCAATTTCTCCATGCTGGCAGCAAAGTGGAGGGAGGTTTGCTTCCCAACCCCCATGCCCCAGGGCAGGGCCTCACTATGCCAGGCACTGGCCGGAGGGCTGTGGTCCAGGCCTAGGGAAAGTGCAGAGCCCACAGTTTCCTCCAGAAGCCCCGCTCTGACCCACTAGGGCTGCTGGACCTTCTAGGTGGGGCGGCGAGGGGGTCTGTGCCCTTCCTTGGGGCGGCACTGGGACACCCCGCCCCCTAATTCGCGTTCTAGGAGCACATTTTATGTTGGGGGAACTCCAGGCCTGGAGCCCGGCTCCGGTGAGTGCCCAAACCAGGCAGCAGCCACCCACACCGCGAGGGGGAAGGGGTCCATTTCGCCGGGAAGCTTGTACAACACCCCGGTCCGGAAAGGTCCACATACCGGGCAGGGCTGGAGTTCGATGCTGGTTCTCTGGGTTTGAGTGATGCGGCTTGGGCCACAGCTAGGCTGGGGGCCTTCCACGCAGGGCCATCCCCAGTCCCCACCCCCACCCCACGCCAAGCCATTCCGCAGGAGACCACGACCTCTTCTTGCCTGGCTCTCCCTGCCAGTCCTAGGTCGGGCAGGGCAGGCCCACTCAGGGACGGGAAAAGGCGCCAGGAGCGCCTGCCAGGCGGGCCTCGGCCCGGGAACCCCTGGCGCTTGCCTGCTTCCAGGGGCTTGGGGCTGAGTCTCGGGAGGAGGGGGCGTGAGCTGGGGGGCCCTTCCGGGCGGGGGGAAGGCGGCGTAACAGGTGGGCGACGCGCGCCAGCAAAGCCGCCGCGCTCTGCGGGCTGCCGGGCCCACTGGGGAGGCCGGGCCGGCCCCAGCCCGAGGTCCCCTCCCCTTTCTGCCCCAGCTCGGACCCTTGGCGCGGGGCCCGCCCGGAGCGGATTCGCGGGCGGGGAGCGACCGCGCGGCCGGCAGCAACTGGTGTCTCCCCGGGGCGCAGCTCCGCCCTTCCCAGGAACAAAAGCCGCCGCCCGCGCTGGAGCGCCTGGCGGGAGGGCCAAGAGGGGGCGCGGCGCCGACTCCCGCGAGCGCAGCCCCGGAAAGGGGGTGCCCCCCAGAGGGCGCCCCCAAACTTCCCACCTCTCTGGTCTGGGTCGGGGGAGGTGTCGAGGCTGGTCTGCGGGGCGCGGGG